TCCAGTATTACTATAGGTACCTTAACAAAAACACATCAATGTTCTTTTTATATGGTTTCTTAACATAATATAACAGTCAAATGTTGCTATAATTAAATTTAAATTAGTTTGATTTTTTAATTATTCAGAGTATCAAAACAATACTTTTTTAAATGAATAAAAATTTTATCATCTACATTTAAATAAATGGCAATTAAAATAATTTTGTTTCAAATTTTAACATTTTTATAACGGCTCACATAACCTAACTTAACCTATAATTTATGGGTATGCAGTAAAAAAGATCGTTGAAAAACTCAAATACAGATGGTTGGGAAAATATCGACTGTCGATGGTTGATTTAAAATCGTCCGTTATTTTTTTTGTGTAGACGTGTGAGAAAAATTATAATGCAATAATATATGTATTAAAAAGAAAATAAACTGCACAATATAAATTATAATATTATAAATTACTGTGTACATAGAGTATTAGCGCTTATAATAAATATAACAACGTAAATTGTGGCCTGGTGTGGCGCGGTGATTGGTCTCGATCACTAATGTGTATTGAGTCAAGTATCGGCCGGCGTTGCTAACTCTCGGATGGGTGACCAATCCGGGTTATTAGCAACGGATCCATGTTCGCACCACATGTGTGTTCCTCCAACCTTACAAAATATAAACTGTATACAAAAATGAATGGCCTTAGTTGCCGGACTTTAAAATTAGATCAATAATAAAAAAAATAAATAATAAAATGTTACATATTATAATTAGTGTGTACTATTATTTTTATTTATACATATATATGTTTCTAATATACCAAATAATTTTTCAATGTAATTAATAACATATGATAGTGGTATAACTAGTCAAACTAGCCATCCAATGTTACTTATAATGAAAGAGCCCGGATTGAAGTTTTTTCTCATTTTTGAAAATAAAACTTGAAATCAATAAATTTTTTATTAACTGAAATCCAAATAAATGTTTTTAAATTAAAAAAAAATAAATATATATATATAATTATATCAAAATTTTTTGTTTCTATTTTGTATTAATATAAAATAACTATTTTATATACTACTATTAATAATTAATCAGCACATATTTTATTTACATTCTGAGCTTTTTTTTTTTTAAAGAATTTTTTGATTTATCTAGATCCTGCATAAAAAATGAATTTATTAAATACCCAATGGCGCTTTCAACTTCCAAGAACTAGATATTTCAACAAAAAAAGTATATATTTTATCTTTTTAATTTTGAACCAATGACTAATCTAAGTTAAGAATACAAAACTTTGGTAATAACTAATAACTAGTTTTTACCCGTTTAAAAGATATCATAATATAGATATTCTTATTATCTTACTAATTTTGAAAAATTCAAAGTACATTTTTTAGCATTAGGTTTAGTAAATTCATGTGTAATGAATCTTAAATTTTTATTATTTTTTCGTATAGAATTAAAAACGACCTTCGAAAATTACAAACCATACATTTATTTAATTTGCATAATAAGAGGTAAAATAAAATAATTACTATGAGCAAAGCAATAAAGGTTTTATTTTGTTAAATAATAAGATTTTTTACCCTTGTCACCTATATAATACTTATTATCTATACGGCTATAAGTGAAAAAAGGCCTTGTTAGGATACCGAAAAGCCAGTATCTACGAATTTAATTAAATTTTTTTAATAAACCTTTAGGGGTGACCGGGAAACTAGTCTCACAGATCTTATATTTAATTTATTTTGCAAGACGCAATTGTTTTTTTTTTTTTTTTTAGGTTTCTTTTTCACATTTTTCAAAATACCATCTTGAACAAAAAAAAAAAAAAAATATTAAACACTTATATTAAGTAAGAATACTTTTTTAAGATTTTTTTTAAAAACATAGAATTTGTGATATTTGTATTTGTAAAGTATGTATAAATGATACTTATTCTTTTTTTAATATTACATATTTCAGTGAAAAGTTTTCAAAAACTTTGATAAGTAATAATAATTTTATTTTTAATAAAGTTAACACTAATCAGCTTTTTACAATGGTTTAAGCAAAATATATACAATAACATAGTTTATAGTTAATATATTATACAGTATGCATATACATACTCAAATTTAATGAAAATTAATGTGCTTGTTCTGATTAATATAAGTAATAAAAAATAAAAAGTATAGTAGAATGGCATAGCTTTGTACAACGAAAGTATTAATTTATCAAAGTATATTGTAGTTATGCATTATTTTTGATAGTTTAGCGTTCATAAAAAAGTTATAATTAGTATAGTTAGTATTTGAGAGATAAAACATGTCCTGAAACCCAGTATTAGTAGAAATTTGGATCCTTAGTCGATCAAGACATCAAGTACTCAGAATATCAACCACCTTCAATCAATCCTTGAATGAACCTTTTTCTAATTTCCTTATATCTATAATCTAGAGAATCAAGTTTAAGAATCAGATTAACTGTATTGGCCAATAGCCACGCTATGAATGAGGAATTTTTAGAGAATGGCCAGCATAACTCGAAACAGAAACGATTTTAGACTCAACTGATCCGCTGTAAATCGATGTGATATATATTATATATAAATAGGTATATAACTGAACGAACCAAGAAATTTTATTTGTAGAGCGTAAGAAAGTAATCAAGAAAATCGAAGTTTGTCGAATTTCGTTTATTAAAACCCAGAACACGTACACTGTACTACTAATAAAATCAATATGGAGAAAATAATAAATTAAGTGAAAGAACAAACAATATTCCTAAGTCTTCGACTTTGTTAACACGTTAAAGCCGTTAAAGGGACCATTTAATTTATAATCGAAACTAACTATTGTACGTGTACGATGAAAAGATATCATTTATTCACTTCTCATTAATTATTGGTGATGTTAAGAAATAGACATAGAAGTAGTATTATATCAGATAATGTCATAATGATCGAATCAAAAGTCTTATGAAAGATTTGGCAATCATTATATCGTCATAAGAGGATATTGTATGAAAGATCTTAACCCCCCCCCAATTGATTATTAACTGTTGAAATAATATCATTATAAACATTGTGAATTTAAATGCATCAAACAAGAATAGTGATATAATTTATTTAGTTATTCTACGAAATTGTAACGCAATTGCCCTTTCTCTCTGAACTTTATGTACCTTATAAATATTTTATAGTTTTTGTATATTTGCACATCAAATTTCTCCTGCTATCAGACAAGAAATTCAAAATAGTGCGAAAGGAAGAACATAAGAGATAACATACACATAAAAAAAAAAAAATTATGATCGCAGCGTTTATTGCAATTTTAAGAGTACATAAAGTGACCACATTTTTTACGCATACTAATTATCTGACGTAGGTACGTATTATTATTATTATTATTATTATTATTTATGCATACTCACGCGCACGCGAGCTTGTTGTGTATGTGTATAAATTAACCCTGAATAAATTCAGCCGCCGCTGAATAGGCCGCATAATAATTGTTTTTGGCGAGAACCCGAGCGTCCCGAGTGCACGGCCAAAGATATGAAGGGTAAAAGAAAATTCCGCCGACCCGATAGACGACGATGAGCGACACGTGACGGCGATCTGACCATTTTTGGTTTTTGCGCCGTCGTCGACTTATCACTCACGACCAATGTATTGAGTATATAACAACAGCTATGTATATACATCGTACAATAATATTTATACCCGACAGCATGTTAAGCCCCTTAGTCCTTACTGTGTATTAATGTATAGTATATTTTTATCCTTTTTATATACAAGAACAGGCCTTTTGTATGTTCTCACGTTGTGACGATACTATTTAACATTTTTCCGATTTTTTTCTTTCACAAAGTTATTCAAAATGTCTCCTTAAGTGTTATCGCGATGCCCGATTTTTCATATTTTTTGCCTGTTGAGAGGGGGAAGGATATTGAATTTTAAATGATTCAATTTTGAGACAACACTATTTTAATATTTATCCAATTTTTTTTTCATAGAGTTGTTCAAAATACTTCCCCGAGTGTTACCATGTCTCCCCGATTTTCATTTTTTTTTTTTTTTTTATCTGAATGGAGAGAGAAGGGGAATCGTATTTTCATCCTTATTTATATAAAACGAACTGCAGGTCTTTTTATGTTTCCGTTTTGTGACAACTCCATTTAACATTTTTCCAATTTTTTTTTTCACAAGGTTGTGCCAAATACTCCTACGAGTGATCTGCAATTACACACAATCGAATTTTGTTCGTCATTATACATTCATTTCGAGATTGTCACAAACTACACACGGGCGAAGTCGGAGGTAATTCGGCTAGTATTTTATATATATTATAATATACTATATTATTAAGACCGCATATATTATATAGGCACGTTTTGTGCACATCACCGTGTGCACTATACTGCAGTATAGAGTCGTTTCAATTTTTTTTTTTTTTTTTATTTCTAACACCACACGGGCGAATAATTATTCCGCGTGCGGACGTTTGCACAGACCTCGTCTATAGAATCTATTCAGACCTAATAACCAGCCGCGATTCGCGCGAGATCGAAAAGTGAGCTCGCAAACCGCTGCAAATCCGCAAACGACATTGGATTTCAAGCGCGCCATCGCATAGGTCGTCGCGCGGTCCAAACGGCGCTATATACCGCGGCCGCGGTCGCGTGCAGATCATAATAATAATAATATCATATACGCGCAGGCACCTAGTTTCGACGTGTCACGCGCGCGTCACACAAACGGATTGCGCGCCGAACGTTGATGTATGCATATATAGAGCGAGGCGTCCCATATTAATTGGAACGAGTTAAACGCGCGCCGTGGCTCTTGACCCATATATACACGAGATCGGGCGCACACAAACATAAGGCGGCGGCGGTGGCCACGGCTCATCTCTCTGGGGCGCGCGCAGACTCCCGAGCGCAGCCGCCGCCGTCAGCAGCGTCCGGCGTAGGCGCACGACGACGACGACGACGACGGCGGCAGCGGCGGCCGCTTTACGCGCACAGCTTTAGTGTGTGTGGTGCGCGCGCGTGTGTTCGACGTCTGCGGTGTCCCTTTGCCGCCGTTTTTCCGTCGCTCGTTTATATAAATAGAGAGGCGTCCCGACGTCCGCCGTCGTCGTCGTCGTCGGTCGCTATTGTCGCTTGTCGCTTGGCTATCTGGCGCGCGCGAACGTCTTCCGTAACGCTCGGCGGCGGCCCGGTCGTTTTATTATTAACGCGCGCGGCGTTCTCTACTCGCGTATAATATTATCCGCGTAACCGTCGCGTCCGCACCGCAACAATATCGTAATATATACAGACGCGCGACGCGTCGTTGCGCCCGTACGCGATCGTTTAATTTTTAGTGCACATAATAATAATAATAATAATAATAATACACCTACGCGTAGTGTCGCGTCGCCGCGCCTGCACGACGGCGTGTACAATATCATACCGTTAAGGACGTCGGCAGATACCGTTTTTTCAGAGGACCGGTGCCGCAATTATCGTTGCACTTTGCAGGTTCGCGCTTTCCCGTTAACGCGCCCGACCCGCCGTCGACCGTCTCGACGTTTGTATAACGGTGGTCCGTCGCCGGCCGACCGTGCAGTACACGAGACACGACGACGTCGCGTCGTCATTGCGCGCCGCGTGCCGGGTACCGCCGGCCACGATCGAACAGGAGTCCACGCGGCCGCACGCCGCCGTCGGGGAACATTGGACGCTGCGCTATCGGAGCACAGCGTGCACACACCGCGGGCGGCAAACGGGACGCGCAGCGATCGCGTCGCCGTCGTACCGATTTATGGAGACGAGCCGACGTCACGCGACGACCGTGCGCCGAGCCGGCGATGGTGACGGTGTGATCGCGACCGGCACGACCACCTGCAATCACATCACCGCGTCCACTGCGGCGGCACGGACGTGGACCGCGTACCCAATCGCATACGACCACTGCTGTATAGGTTCGTCCGGTGCAGTCTCGGCGCGGCGGCGGTCATAAAGGCGTTAAATGTCATCGGTTCCGGCGGAACGGGTTTCGGAACTATGTCGCCGCTGGTGGTCGTCGCGGGACAACGTAGTAGTGGTCCGGCGCTGTGTAAGTAAAACGCGACGGCGTGATATATGTATATATATATTATTATTATTATTATTATTATTATTATCATTATTATTATATCGTAGGTATGCGCCGCGTATAAATAAATCAATGCCAAAAATGTTTGCCAAAAAGAAAAAAAGAAAGAGAGCGAGAGCCGAAACATTGTTCGGCGCCGGGGCCCGGCCAATATGTCCCGGTTCGCGCATAATATAACACACACACACACATATACATATATTGTAAATATAAGCACGTATTATAATATAATATATGGTGTGGGTCAGAAATACTAAAAAAGTCTTAACACTTCTCCACGCGCGCGCGTACAGTGTATAGGGTATACATATAATATGATATGATAATATATTATTGTCGATTTCAAAGATAAATAATTACGCATCACAAGTTATCGGGGGTGGATGGGGGTGGGGGTGGAGAGAATTGATTCAAATATATTATATGTTGTTTGGGTATACGCAAAAAAAAAAGGAAAACGTCTAGTTCAGCTCTGCGTGTGTCGTCCCATGTCTTCGTATGTATAGTATATAATAATGGGTTTAACAGTTTCACCCATTGTCGGCGGTACAGAGAGGAAAAAAAATAATATAATAAGGTCTCTCTGTGTCTCGCACTGTGTATGACATATACAGCGTGTGCGTGTACGAGTGTGAGTGACGTGTGTGTACGTAAGAGGGTCATTCGTCATCGCGAGCGGAGTGCGTGACACCGAAAAGATTGCTTTCTCGGAAACCGCACTCGTTTCTTTGCCCGAACTTTTCCGCCACCGCGGCTCACTACGCTCGGTGCTCGTACGTATCGACGTCTAAATTTAGTAGGTGTAGTGGCCTGTAGGTTAGGTGGTAGTTTGAGCAATTATTTTTAATAAGGATGCGAATCTCGAATATTAAGTACCTACAAATGATGCAATAATAACGTGTTAACAATGGTGTATCGAAGATGCATTTATGTGATATTATTACCTAATTATTATGACAGTGTAATATCGTCGGTCTCAAGCGTTCGTTAAAACACGTGGTCCGTGTGGATTATAAACGATTCGGCTAGAATAAACGTCGTTCCTATTCCGAATTTCCATTTTTAGACACGGACTAGTCGAGTTCAAGGTCATTCGTTGCATACTTTAGGCGCGACAATAGTTTCAACAGAATTTCCATCATATACTAGACACTTCGTTTTCGACCAATAAATAACATCGATTAATTCCTTTTCGTATAATTATAAATTTCCCTTAATGTCCTTTCTTTTGATCTGAATCATCTACGATTTGTTCTGGAATTAGTGAGTCATTCGATATTTAAAATTGTTAAATTGTTTAAATTACCGATTCACTTGTAACACATTGGTCGTCGGCCAATTTTTAACACGTCGCATTGAGGAAAACGACCGTTCACATGTAACTGAACTTATAGAAATAATTGTTATTGCAATTTATAATAACTATAAGTTAGGGGCCGTTAGGGAACACGTGCTTTTCAATTATTTGTCAAATGTGTTGTCAAGATCAAAATGACTATGTAAATTAGCCATGACATTATTTTTGCTTTTAAAAACCAATGATATTAATCTTTAAATTTCAATGATTTTTTTTAAAAATTTGTCAAAATTTAATGGTATGAATTTTAACAGATATTTTTATTTATACCCTTGTTAGTTTTGTATATTTTTTTGGAGCACTGGTAAAAATCATTAATATTATGTCATAATCAAATTTAACGATTTATAGAAAGGTATCTGTTAAACTAACCAATCGAGTTGAGATTCTATAAATAATCCATATTATTATTAGGTGATATTAAATTTTTTTTTAATGTTTAGGAGTGTTAGTAATACTGTTGTAAAAATGTCATGTTGAAAATCCCTTTTTTTAATGTTTTCAAAAACAGGATGTTATTTTTGATAAAATATCTGTGATTAAGTGAACAAAATAAAAACTAGAAACTGTACTGTCAATTGTTTTTCCGATATAATATACGGGTATATTACCGACTGGAACACTGAGTAATAACTTTCTTGTTTGTAAAACTTTTAGTTTTATCATTATAGCTCTTATATTAGGTACATGGTTGATCATTAAAGTCCTTGGGTAAATTCTATTACGCATAAATTTAAATAGTTTCAAAAATAGCATAAAAGTTAGCTACCCTAATTAATGAACAGTTCTTATTTGTAAGTAGTAAATTGTATGCTGATTTAGTGATTTTAAATCTAAAAGTATAAATCTTGTAAAAGAGTCGAAAAAAATAACTGTTACAGCTTTGAAGGTTAAGCACACGTCATGATTAGTAAGTTATAGTAATTCATAATTTTACCTATAGGTAATACATGCATCGCAAGCTTTTACAAAAATGTACTGAATATTTTTGATTTAGGTTCATAATAGCCTCAAGATATTGTCGTAATCTGTTATTTAAGTATACTATGTTTTTTTATTTATTTCATTGGAAAAAAAGATTTTTTAACACGAGGTCATGATACGCTCGTAATATATACTACTAAGTACTTTGTGTAGCTTCTCGAAAAATATATTTGATTTGCAGACCGAAACACATGCTAAAAAAAATAAAATGGTGATCTGATAAAGAAGTTTTGTTGCCGTATAAAATAAATGTTTATACCTACGGAAAATTGTAGTTGCCTCATGACCTGCTCCTAATTACACTACTGAAAACTTTTGTGTGATTAAATTAAAATGTTTGTAAATTGTAGCATATAGGTAACAGGACAGTGGTTTCAGCTGATTCAATTAAAACTAGTTAGTAGGCATATACTTTTTTAAAGCAATTATATAAATTATTTTACTGTATGTATGTTTTGGGCAGTTAATCGTTAATTTTTGCTTATTACTAAACTTTACTTAACCTAAAAAGCGGTAATCAGTTTTAAAATTATTTTACATTTTTGTTTAGGGATTATCTTTGTACAAACAATTTCAATTTAAAAATATAGTAATACCTATATTTGAAATAAAAAATATTATTTTTTATCATTAATTACCTATGACTAACTTTTATATGTTTTATTCATTTCTATTATTATTTTTACATCGCCGGATATTAAAGATATCTCATTAGTGTCATTACAATAGAGCTTATACATTATTTTTAAAACTTGAATATTAATAAGTTTCAACTGAAAATTCAATATATATGTAAGAATGAGCATCATAAAAAATAAAGAATTAGATACTAGATAATAATCTAAATATATCTAGACAGTCATTATTGAAATATCATACGTTGGACATAATTATTATCAACGATAAAATAAAATTCGCAGTTTATGGTCTTGTGGATTGCAAATAATTTTAATATACTTAAATGTACAATGGAAACAAATCAATTTTTTTACTAAACCTAATCGACCGTAATATGTAAACAGGAAAAACATTTTGAAAATAATTAATTTTTAGTGTAATATCATGTTGTTCATAAATTATAATCGTATAATTTTACCTGACAAGTATATAGTTGTCCAATGTACACTATAAAATTATAAATTATAATTTTTTTTATAATTTATTATTATTATTATTGCAGAATATGTAATATTTATGCAATTATCCAGAAATACACAATTAATATGCATTTTTATAGAAATTAATATGTAAAAACAAAATGAACCATAGAATCTACAGATTTCGAAACGTCAATATTTAAAATAAAAATTATTCTAGGTGAATTATAGAATAACATGCATTTGCATATAAATCCGGGCCCTAGTTATAATATGAATCAAACATCAAAATTCCAACACCTAATCATGTAGGTATATTGTAAAATAATGCATATGTTTGAAATATTTAATTATGTATTTAATATATAGTATTTATTAATCACAAGTTGCTCAAAAAAATGTATTTTTATATGAATTTGAAAATTTAAAAGTTACCTTGAAAAAAGTACCTATCTAAATAAGAAATATATATATCATCATAAAATAATATTTATTCCGGAGTATATCTAATATTCGATGGCGCCAAACCATATCGTAGGCTTTTTCTGTCAAGTGAAGTTAATAGAACATGTTGCTTTATGTTAAAATCTAAGTATATGTTTTCTGTTACCATCGTTAGGGCATCAACGGTAGATTTGTTCCTTTGAAAACCAAATTGTTGGTTGCTGATAAAATTATTTTGTTTTAGTGTCCAGTATCGTCTTTTGCTCACAATATTTTCAAGTAGATTGTTAAGGGTGCATATTAAAGATATAGGTCGGTAGAAAGTGACTTTGTGTCGATCTTTACTTGGTTTAAGTATAGGTATAATAATGGCCCTTTTCCAAGTTACAGGAAATTTTCTCTTTTTCCAAATTAAGTCGTAGATTTTTAATAGAATACTGATGACTCTGTTAGGGAGTTCCTTAATGAATATGTATGGGATTTCAACATGGCTAGTGCTATGTTTTACACTTGGAGATTGCATCATATAGCTCTTGTAAATTAATTGGTATGTTTATTGTTTGACTGTTCTCGTTTGTTAATATGATTGAATTTTCTGTTTCATTTTTTGATTTTGAGTTTTTGAATTTGGAGTAATAATTATCATTACTGCTGTTTTTTTTCAAAATATTCGCCGAGTGCTTGGGCTTTTTCTGAGAGAGAGTATAATATGTTTTATCTTTTTTTATAAGTGTTTGAGGGGTTTCATTGAATTGAATGCCTTCTACTAGTCGAATTTTTTTCCCATGCTTCTTTAATGGGAGTATTCGGGTTTATATCTTTTATGAGTTTTTTTTTCCAAGATTCAGTTTTTAGGTGTTTGATGATTCTCCTTGATTAAGCTTTGGCTTTTTTTTTTTTAGATTGATGTAGTCTGAAATTGTTTTTGTTTTTTTTTGTATTTATTGAGTGCTTTTTTATAGTTTTTTTATGATAATACTACATTCTTTAGATCATCAAGGGACAGGGATTTTATCGAGATATAAAATTGTTTTTCCAATGGTTTTAAGAGCTGCTTCTGTTATGATTGAAGAGAATTG